GTTTAAGTAGATTAAGAAGAGAGTACTGCCAAGAACACTAGGTTGTGGGATCTAATCCCTTCTTTTTCTAATTGAACATAATTCTCTAACTGAACATATCGCGATCGGTTACAAGAGAAATGAGACAAACCACTGGTGTGCTATTCCACGTACTTCTATGTGATAAAGCTTATTTATTTATTTAAACCCACTGTGTCTCATTGCTGGGAAAAAGCCTCTCCTCTTGACTTCCACAGTTCCCTGTTTGACGCAATGTTAGACCAGTCCTTTATACATGCGTCCAAGTTGTCCCGCCATCTCCTTCTTGGTCTGCCTTGTCGACAATGGCCATTCTCCGGCACCCACCAAGCTGTGTGAGCCCACCTCTGTGGGTGTATGAGACAGGCGTGTCCAGCCCAGTCCCAGCTTGGCGGTCCTTGCAGTCCTGGCAGTCTTTAATAAATGTCAATTTAAATTTTTTCGAATGTTTTTGTCATATCAAATGAAATTCCTATTGATTTAGAAACATTGGATTCATAGCTATAAGAGTCACATTGTCGACAAAATAAAGTTACTTGATTATTTTGTTGTGATTTACAATGGTTTGGTAAAGTACCTGCGAAAACATAGCCGCACTTAGTGTTCAAAAAAATAGGACTGCTTGCTGCTCTACTGACTGCTGTGCTGAGTGATGGCTGTTGTATGCTGGTGGCTGGGAAACGACCTCCTCAGCAATACTTGAAAGAATACATCGGCAGCCATTAGCATATGTATGTTGCCTAGCACATCAAAATCTGCATCATACAATTTTAGGTTAGTGAGCATAGAAATAGTCTCCCCGTTGAACCGCTGTTGTGGTAGTTTAGAAGTGATTTGTTTTAGAACATAACATGTAATGGGTAATTTAAATTGTGATACCATTGAGTGTACTTCAAGCTGAACACGTTGGTTTATTATGCTGTGTGCATTGCCTATACCTATGATACCTGTATTTACAATTTTTGGCCTCAATTTCAAGAGCCACACTAGTTCTGTAGTAGCTAAGAAAGTCTGTGAGCCACTATCGACCAGTGCCTTTGCTAGTACTTCAGTGCCGTTGGCTGTCACTAACTTGACTAGAACTGTTGGTAGGAGAACCTGTGTGGAGTAAGCTGTAAACATATTTTAGTACCTAAAAATTCTCGTCTGAATTCGGATTGCTTATTTATGATGTCTTTTAATCTAATATATTGTCGTAAGTTGTTTTCCATTTGTATTCTAAAAATGTCTAAGTCTACTGTTTTAAAAATGGTCCACTGATTATTCTTGATCACTGCTGTTCCTATCTTCATTGGAGCTATTCCTGGATTTTGCTCTAGATTCTGGATTTCCAGGCTGAATCCTTGCTCGGCTAGGGCCACTTTAGTTGTACTTGTACGGGCACGATGTTTCTTTCAGGGTTTCCTATAACTTCAGCTTTTTCGTACCTGGGATTACCCATTACTTTTGCTTTTTTGTCCTAGTATTTTTCATAAAAATCTGGTCGCCTTCTTTGATGGCAGGGGGTTCCTCCCGGCCTTTTTTATTTCTAATCTTTACTTTATTCTTTATTACTGTCTCTGCAATATGTTCATAAAGGACGTTTAATCTTTTTCTATGATCTTACAGCATTTTTTGATAAATTTGTCGTTCCCTATCAATGTCGAAAACGTTACCCGTATCTGTTTGTCCGGAAACTACTTTGAATGGAGTGCAGTTAGTTGCAGAATGAATGGTGTTATTGTATGCCATATGTATTGCCATATGATGGCATATGTCATTACTGATGCTGCATCTAAATCGCTCTTATCGTACTTGGCTAATCTGTAAATCTTTATAATAGTGGAATGAAACCTTTCGACGATTCCCATTGAGTTTGGGTTGTGTGGCGAGGAGAAATTCTTTAACTAACTTTTTAATATTTACGGGCATATGTACTTGAAGGATATGTTGTTTTTTATTACTAATATCCTGTACACTGAGATTATTTTTGAACCAGGTAAAAACTAAAATTTGTCTCGGTTTTATATCAATGACTTCGTTAAGTATCGGAATGCCTTCATGTTGCATATTTGAAATGGAATGGGCGATAACCCCACTATTTGGTTCCAAAGTTTCTATTTCATCTTCTTGTGCTAACTTGACTGTTTTGCTGCTATTATTGAGTTAGAGTCTGAAACATTAATGATATCTGAATTCTCGTCGCCCTTTTCTGTATCTAACATTCTTGTTGCTGCATCTCTACAAATTTATCTAAGTCAAACTCGTCGTTTGGTCTACCTATATTTACTTGTATGGAATCGTCGTCGTCGTCCACTTCGTCATCTAGCATATTAATTTTTATTCGGGACGAGGCATGTTCTGTTTTGTGGTCCCTTTTTATATATAATTACAAAATTATATTCTTCTAAATGCAACCGCCAGTTAGTAAGTTTACTGTTTGGTTCCTTAAGGGAATATAACCAAGCCAGTGGTCCGTGATCCATATAGATAGTAAACTTGTTACCGTAAAGGTATGGTCTGAAGTGTTTAACAGCCCACACTTCGGCCAGAAGCTCTCTTTTTATTGTACTGTACCTAGTTTCAGTATCGGATAAAGTTCGACTCATGTACGCAGCTGGTTTGTCAGAGCCGACAGAACCCTGTGACAGCACAGCACCAATAGCACAATTAGACGCGTCTGTTGTTAAAATAAATTCTTTCGAAAGTCCGGATCCTGTAATAATGGTGCGTTGGTAAGGTAAGGAGTTTTTTACAGCTTCAGTAATTTCTATTCTGTTTTTCTTTTTCAAACACGAGGTCACAGGCTTTGGTTATTTTGGAAAAATCACTAATGAACTTTCTGTAATAACCTATTAAGCCCAGGAAACTTTTAATCTGAGTAGTTGTTCTACGTATAGGATACTTTAGAATAGCATCTGTATTCGGCCTTAGTCCTTCCCTGGTAATTGTATGGCCCAAATAAAGTACTTCTTTTCGAAGAAAATGTGACTTGTCTAGCTGTAATTTAAAGTTCGTTTCGCGAAATCTTTCAAATACGGCTCGTAGTTTTTGAGCATGTTCCTGTATGCTTTTTGAAAATATAGTAACATCATCTAGGTACACTACGCAATGTAAGCTACGGGGTTTACACACAACCCTTTACAACATTATTCATTGCTCTCTGCCGGCGCCGTTATCAGGCCAAACCGCATCCTATTGAACTCGAAATGCCAGAATGGCATACTAAAAGCCGTTTTCTCTATCTTCCTCCTAAACCTCGTTTTGATGGTACCCGCTTACCAGATCTAATGTGGTAAAATATATACTCTCGCCTGACATATTAAATAAATCGTTTATGTTCGGTAAGGGGTATTTATCATCGACAGTAATGTCATTTAGGCGTCGGTAATCAAACACCATTCTCCACTGTTTTTCGCCCGAAGCATTCATTTTTTTTGGTACCAGGTGCACTGGGGCACTCCACGGGAAGTGGGACTTCAGAATGACATTATCTTTTAGCATTTTATCTACCTGTTTCTTTATTTCGGAAGTGTGGCATGGGGGTAACCTATAGGCTCTAATATGTATCGGGTCCCCATTCCTTGTTCGTATTCGATGTTTTACCTGATTAGTACAAGACAAGGGTATATCTTCACAATAAAATATATCCTTTTATTCCCTACAAATACTCTCTCTAACCTCTCTTTCCTCACTATTCATGTGATCGAATCTAAGTTTCTTTAAATTCTTCGTAAGTACGACATCTAAGTCGTATCTATTGTTATCATGATATTTAAGATTGGATTCTACCTTCTCTTTCTCATAGATTTCTACAATAAATGGTGCTGTCACTACCATGGTCTATTCGATATCTGTGTAGTTTTGTATAACTGTAAACGCGTAACCATTGTCGCATCGCACCAATGCAAAGGGCATTCGAATCCCTTCAGTGAATTGTTTATAATGTAAAATAGCTTCACCTTTTAAAAGATTGAAGGGGAGTTTAACCCGTAATTTACAACGAAATGGCAGAATATAAGTCTCCCTCATTGGAGGAGTATAGATGATAGGAATTTGCGTGTCTTTTGTGAATAATGTTTGCGACTTCATGTCAATCTTCGCTTGCAATTGCGTTGCATTGTTTGGCACATGCTGACGAGAAATTGGCGGGTTACTGACCTGCCCTACATTCGGATTGCGATAAATAAAAGAGTTATGATTATTGTAGGGTCTATGATGAGTTGGAACGAGTTATTTGGACAATTAACATTTTGGTTGTACGATGGGCTCCTGACTACTTGTGCGTTTGGCTGCCTTTGCGGATAGTTTGGCCTGGGCGTGTGGAAACAGAATAAGAATAACGAAGAACTGTACTAGTTATTATTCCTTACACAGGAAGACGTTTGAAATTAACAAGATAAAATAAAAAGTTGGTATTTATTTATTGTCCAATATCCAGCTCTACAAATACAGAAACAACAACAATAAAAAAAAAAGATAAACATACTGAATAGATATTACAATTAACCTACAGGCATCATTGGTACAGATTACTTAATAATTAGTATGTAATGTGAATGTCAGTGGTTCAAATGTTACATTGTACTTTGTAGAATCAATAAAAACTAAGTTTCTACTATTCATCTTTATTTTCTGGCGGTACATGTTGCATTTTACTATTGTGATCTCCACTACCATATTTTTTGCAAATAAATAGATTTCAATTGAAATTGGCTTCCTCTTATTAATGCACATCAAATGTATAAATGATAGAGACTTAACTACTTCCTATATTACCTTAAGAATCATTTAAATTTCCCTCGATCAACCCCCTATATATAATAATAATTAATGCGGCACACGGTAAAAATTACGTTCCGGAATATCTCAACCCCAACCCCGAACACACACATCAAAATCAATTTAGAACAGACTTTATCCTAAATTTGTCCTGTCGCAAATCAAACCCGGGATCTCTTTATTTAGCACCAAGAGCACTAAGCGACGGGCCATTGAGGTAGTCAATACTGGCTCATACCATCACTTCTCTCAGGAAGCATGATAACTTTTGATGCCTCGTCTCTTTTTTCAAACTTTTCATCATCTTTAAACCTTCCATAGATAAAATAATCCTCAATCTCCTGCAACGTTCTATCTTTAGTCTCTGGCATTAAAAAGTACAATATTGAGAGTAACACCGCCATAATACCTCCAAACACTGCAAAAGTTCCATATACCTTAACATTAACCAGTAGAAAGGGAGTCACGTGTAGTGCCAAGTACAAGTTGCACGATAAAACGACCCCACTAAGCGCAGATCCTGCTCCTCTGTGAGCTAAAGGCAAAAGTTCTCCTAAAAATGCCAAAGGAATTGGTGTACAGCCCAAGTTCACTAACACAAAATACACTACAAACAATGAAATGGGAATCCAAGGTCTGTCTCTCGATATCACATCCTTTGATACAAGAAACAGGTAAGTACAAGTAATAGCAATTGTAACAACTGCTGCCCACCCTGTGGCAAAGAGTACTGTCCGTCTTTTCATGATTTTTACTAAGAACGAAGAAAATGTAGCGCTTAAGGTGATAATCAAGTCTATAGCTAATATGTAGTAAAAAGAAAGGGAATTGTTACCCGTTACTTCTCCTATGATGTCTAATGCGTAAGCAGGAAAATAATGCCTCCCAGATGCTTCCAGAAGCATGAAACCAAAACTTAGTATAAGAATCGGAATTAAAAAGCCTTTTCTTGTAAATTTCTTGAAAAAATGTAAAATATCTTCCGTAAGAGTGGTGACTTTCTTATCAGCGATCTCATTCATTTGTGCTCTTATCAATTCGTTAAGTTCCTTCTTTGAATTATCGTCATGTCCTCTAAGCCAGAAAAAAGATTTCTTAGCATTTTCAAATTCCCTCTTGGAAACCAGGAAAGATGGAGTTTCATACCAGGTCATGGTATTTAACAATGCAATAATATAAGGTATGGCAGCTAATAAAGCTAAGATTCTCCACGAAACATAGTTGCCAAGAATATGACCAATCATACTACCAAGACAAACAGAAGCTGTCTTAAGGTTTAAGAATATTCCTCTAAGGCTCGGACTAGTACATTCACCAATGATAATGGCTCCAAGACTAGCTGTAGCTCCCACAGTTATGCCACACAGAATCCGTCCAATTAAAATGGTCGTTACTGATGCTGCGAAGTAGATTAACGTCCAACCGACAATTCCGGGCATGATTACCAAGATATGTGTGATTTTTCGTCCCCATCGGTCCATGAGGGCGGAAGCCAGGAAAAACCCCGGTAAATTGGCCAAACCAACACAGGATGCTGCAAAACAAAAATAACAATAATAAATTTTTAAAAAATACCACACAATCATACCAATTACCTGGTCTGAAACGAAGGTGTACCATTTACGAGTACATCTTACAGGGTATGATTGAAACGAGCTCTGGGGGCAATGCAATTGTCATTATAAGCTAGTATCGTGCATTATTATTATTAAATTTTTTAACAACTATGGTACTAGCTAGATTGGGAAAATGGCACATGGGAAAGTGGCAGTTTCTGTTACCAACAGGAGTTCATTTGAATTCAGAAGGACAAATTAAACAACCTTTCTGAAGCCTGAATCGATATTTAAATAACTGTACAATATAGTTTGGGCCGGTATCATAATAACTTCTTCTTCTTCTTGTCCTCATTCCACGCTAGGTGGCGTCGGCACAACATGTATTTTTCTTTCACACTCCCCCATCAGTCATCATTTCCATACTCACACCTTAGTTATCAGACTCAGTACCAACGAGTTATTTGTAAGCAAAAATATAACAAACGACTAGAAGTGAAATTGGACTTAGTTAAGCAAGAAGGATCCAATTCACAAAATTATCGAAAAATGTTATATGTACGAAACGCTTCTTAAAGTCTAACCTCTTAGATCAGCAAAAAATCCAACATATAAACATAAATAAATATATCTGGAGTTACATGATATTATAAGTTTTGAAAATAAAACAAGAGTGAGAAATATTATTAAACTTTAAACTGCCATATCACGCAAGTGACGGATGAGCATTGGATCGTTTTTGTTTAACTACGTCTAATTGTTCATTAAGAGGGAGCATGCCAAAAAAGTTTTGACGTTGGCTCCGCCCACATTTGTGAGACAAATATATGCCTGAAGTTTGCGTGACAGGCGACAGGAGATGTTGAATTTTGCGCATTAAGGGTACCAAATTCGTTTTAGCGGAATAACTCTAAAACTAAAGGGATTTAAAAAATCCGTAGTGACAGTTCTCGATCATGCATAAATATAATTAATTATGTAATTTTTGTCCTAATAACCTGTAGCATTTCGAAAATGAGAGGTCATTTCATGATTTTTATCTATCGAGGAAACTTTATTGTTTTATGTTTCTGATTAGTGTCTATGCTTGAATATATCGTGTAGTTACTCATACAATATTTTATTTTTAACTTTAAAGTGGATATACCCCTCTAAAATCAAATCGAAGATTAGGAATTTTTCCTCTGCTCCCTCTTAATAATCTCAGTACAGGGTAAAAAGTGTTCAAAAGTTCGTGAAATTACATCTATTTGCCAAGTTTTATTGAAATCGGTACCGGAAATTGCGCGTAACCGGATTCATCCCCTAGATTGTCACCCTTAGAGGTGGAATATTTTCTTCACAAGAGAGTAAGTGCACATGACCAAGCAGACATCTCCCTGTAGTGTACGTTAACACTAGATGACCATCAGTGTGTTTAGGTGTCCAAGTTTTGATTATATCAAATAAAAGTCCAGCATGCGGGAGATTCTGACGAGCTTCAATCTTCAGTATATTAGCAACTCTGAGATAAGAAGTAACATGAGTATGTGGGGATATAGAAAAACAAAAACTGGAGCACGTTTTTTGGACACGTTTCAGTAATTTATGTGATCTAGACGACAGACAGGGTCTATACGACGTAATAGTTGATATTGAATGTCTTAATGAGGTTTGTACCTTCAATGGTTTTATCGAGATGAGATATCGGAAGTGTAAGGCACAAAAAGCAGGAGGATATTGATTGCTCCCTTCAGAGTAGATTCTTACCAATCCACGACGCAGTGTGAAGATCAATCTCCAGTGGAGAATCAGATCTTCGCAACGCCGGCAGCAGGCTGGACGCGTAGCTCAACACCATGCCTAGTCCAACCATGTTTATTAGCACCCCTGACACGACCCATACCTGAAATTACACTGTTTCTTAACACCGAAGTAATTAAGTTCCCTGCTTTACATCTGTCTGTATCTACAAGGTTATTTGAAAAAGACGTTAAGTTATAGGAAATGAAACTATTTTTCCGGATTTAAATAGCGTATATTTGTTTTTTCAAACAAACCAACGTTTCGTGCACTTTACAGGTCGTATGGCCATGGTTGACTTTTATGTGATATTTTAAGTTTTTCTTGTAAGTGCTATCTGTATTTGGTAGTTAGTTTAAACACGCAAACGTGTCCTTCCCGATGACCCCTAATCCCGCTTCTGCGTTTTACATCGGGCTAGTATTTACGCTAACGCTTTCTTTTGCACTGAGTTATCCCCGTATAAGCGATCGATTTCAATGTTTTTATTTAAATCGGACATTCGCCGCCACCGCCACATTATAAACAGGGTTACCATCATCGTTATGAAATTATAAAATTGTTTTTTGTCGCTAACAGGTGTTGCATTTTAGTATAGAGTGTAGGTAGATATTTACATACAGGAATAATATCAATTGATCCTCAAGGGTATAATTGGTCTGTTGTAAATTTCCTTGCGTTTCCGAACTTCAGATCTTTCATGTCAAATTATATTATAATGAATGTTCGTTTGGGCTGGGCGGCATTTGGGAAGCTAAGCCACATCATCAGGTCGTCAATCACACAAAACCTAAATACTAAGGCACTTAACCAGTGCGTTCTAACAGTTATGTCCAACACAGCCGAGATGTGGATATTAACAATAGGCCTCATTCACTAATTCAAGGTCACTCAGCGTGAGACGGAGCGAGCAATACTAATGGCGACCACGTCATGGAAATCGTAGTGCGGGACGCCCTGTAGAAAGATGTACGGACGGCAGCGACTGCTTTAATGATAGTATACTAAAATATAATTAACTAAGTCAAAACCCATTTAACGTACCTCGATTTGTTATCTCATAATAAATCTCTTACCTCATAATAATAAGGTTCTCAGTTTTTTTGTGTGTATGTTACTTGATTACTCCTACATTTATGAACTGATTTCGATGTTTCTTTTTTTGGTGGAAAGGGGGTAGGTATCTTAAGTGTTGGGCCCATTAAAATTTCAATATAATATTCTAAGGGTGGCAAATTAGGGGATTAAACCCGATTTTGTACACTTTCAGTATAACAGATTTAAATTAAACTTCACAACATTAGATGTAATTCCTTTAGGAGACTTGAGGCCGATTTTTTTCAATAAAAAAGTTATAATTTATATAATACATACCTGTCTCTGAAAGGGCGTTGTCAAGTTTTTATCACTCATGTTCATAAACTTTTTACTGAAAATCGTTTTTAACAAATAAATTATTTACAGCAAATGCGTGCGCGCATGTCACATATTGATAATGCACTGGTTTTAACGATTGCAAGCGCTGTGAATATTAAGAATATGTCTTTCAAGAATCTGTTAGCCTAAAACCACTTACCTTTTACTACCTTACTTACTTACTTACTTTTTTAGTACTACCACCTTACCTATATCTATTTATTGAAAAACAAGTGCGCATTTGATCTGCATCTTACCTGGTGGAGCAATGTGAGCATTACTGCATTCCGGTTTGATAGGGGCAGGGTGCTGATGAAGTTACTGGCACATGTGACTTATCAACTTATGTCTCAAGGTGATGGGGGCAATGGCTGTGCCCCTCAGATCTCAGCCATTTAAAGCTCTAATCACACTGGTCGTATAGCTTAGCAGCATGCGTGTTGGGTGTTTTATTGATGATGTTTGTGTAAATAATCTAAGCTAAGCAACTTTTTTAAGTCGTGGGCCTAGTGGTAAGTGACACGTCTGTCCATAATAGTTGCAGTACCACTTAGAGCTTTAATTCGCAAAGATCTGAAGTGCACCGCCGCTGTGCCCGTCACAATGAGACATAAGTTGAAAAGTCCCACGTGCCTGTAATTTCACCAGCACCCTTCAAAATTTAGAACGTAGTAATGCTCACATTACGGCTTGGCGGCAGAAATAGGTAAAGTACCAGTACTTCCCTGGACGAACTCTTTCACCAGGATTTCTGATGCAACTAAGGCTGCTGCTGAGCGCGTCGATTGGTGGCCTGAGGAAATTACTGAAAGCCTGTGAGAGTCAGACACTTGTACATGGTTTGAGATTTAAGCCGTTATTTAACCGTCACACAAAAAGGGAGACACCACAGACATTACTAACTATAGACCTATCACTTTGATTCCAGTGTTTTCAAAAATATTTGAAAAGGTCATGTGCAACCAGCTATTATCCTACTGTAAACGATTCAAAATTATACAAGATAATCAGCATGGGTTTCAGAAAAACAAATCAACAGCACATGCAGCGTTTCACATAGTTGACGAGATTTTACAAAATGTAAATAAAAAACTGTACACGACGGGGCTATTTTTGGACTTGTCTAAGGCTTTTGATTTCGTTTCACACGACCTATTATTGACTAAATTAGAGCATAACGGAGTTCAAGGACCGGTACTAAGCTGGCTAAAATCCTACCTAACAAATAGGTTACAGTGTGTAGAAATAACCCATCTAAATACAAAGAATTGTTCCGAAAATACAAATCTGACTTTAAAAGTAATCATTACGGAATTCCCCAAGGTAGTATATTTGGTCCTCTGCTATTCCTATTATATATTAATAATGTATGTGATAGCACGGAACACGAAACAATTCTTTTTGCGGATGACATTTCAATCAACTCCAATAAAATCAACATTGGGAGAGCATAAAAACGAATTAAGGAAAACATTGACATCACTAATGGAATACCTAAAAAACATAATCTTCAAATTAATTTAACTAAGACTAATATAATGAATTTTAACAACTTACGGACACAAACAGTTGACATGGATTATAACGGACAAATTTTGCGAAACAATACCAATGTGACATTTCTAGGATTAATTGTAGACCAAAAGATGAATTGGAAGGATCATATGGACAAAGTGTGTACTAAAATAAATAGGTTTGCGTTTGCTCTCTACAAATTGTCAAAAGTGGCGAATAAATGCACGCCTTTGACAGCCTATTTTGCGTATGTTGAATCTGTACTCAGATACGGTATAATATGGGGCAACGGCACAGACTTGGCGAAAGTTTTTATTGATCAAAAGCGATGTACACGGACCATATGCAAGCGCCGTATCTTTCATGTCGTCCGCACTACAAAACGTTAAGAGCAATGCCCCTCCCATGCCTGTACATACTCAAAGTTGGTATATTTGTGAGAAGAAATCTATCAAAATTCATAATAGCGAAGGACGTAACTGCCAGAAGCTTATGGAACCCCAATAAAGTGATTCGAGGTACAACACCCAAAACAAAACTTTACCAAAATAACTCGTACGTTATGTGTGGAAATTTTTTTAAACATATACCAGATCGCTTAAAGCTTCTTCCATTAACTAGTTTCAAAAAGGTATTGCGTAGGTGGCTCTTTGATCATTTGTTCTACTCAGTTGACGAATTCATGAAATATAAGGACCAATTATTTGATGCATACATTTTTCTTTACAATTATTATTATTTACTTTAAATTATGACGTACACGATTATGACATCTCGTATTAAATCAATGAACTTTAATTTATCAAGTAGGAGTATCGTTGAAGCGCGTAACAGTGTAAATATCTCGGAAAACTTATATACAATGGTCTGAATAGGGTGCTCAAAATGAATAGATAAATATATACATATACACACAAGGAGTGACCTAGAGTAGTGAAAACCACAGAATTATAGATACAGTAGAAGTGCTTAAGTTGCGTGCCACCATGCCAATGGTACGCGAAGATGTGTCGGCCATTTTCGCTTTGTACGTTACGGTCATGTCAATTATCTCGCGAGAAACCTCGAAAATAGAAAAATGCCTCATTTTGCTACTGTCGTATGTCGTATGTTTGTATTGTCGCACTTGTAATATTATATTATTATATGTATATTCATATCGTCGTTACGTCTTATGTCATTTAATTTTAATATACTTTTAAGTTTCTGTTTATCGTAATATTTTTTTTTGTTACAAGAAACGGAAGTAAACCTGCAATAATGGTCGCTTCTTTTTTGGAGAAACTAAGTAAACATCTCGAATTCGTCGTCGTTCAGCTGTTTACCTCGAAGGGTGGCTGTTCACGCATGAAGATTCACTTTTATAAATAGCGCCTTTACTATTAACTTTAACTTAGGAGCAATTACTTTAATGGTTGATTTTGCTATTTCTTCCGTTCAAGGCGTTTTTTACTCTCAATATACTTTGAGTAGTGTCGTAGTGAGAACCTATTTTTATTATCTACAGCGTCAAGGCCTGTATAGTGGCGAACTGGTGATATTTCGTTAAAACTTAGCAAATAGACGTAATTCCACGTATTTTTGAGGTCGGTTTTTTAGTACTCTGTACTGAGATTATAAAATAATCAAAACAAGCGTTATGCTTCCACATTTTCATGGCGAACGTCTATGGAGTTAAATTCGATGCCAGCAAACTTATTCTCTGAACGATATAATTTGGGCTTTTTCAAGACGTGAATGAATAGGCATTATTTAGATGTGCATGCTCCATAGTCGACCTTGTCGCCACTTACCATCATGTGAGATTAAAGTCAAACGCGCACTTATAGGTACCTACAGTAATTGAAAGTAGTGAGGATACTTATGTAAGACCGGGTACAAAAGGGGTCAAAAGTAACAAACGCTGTGCAGAATTATCCAATGGCCGAAATTATGTGCGCGATCGTTGAATGGTCAGCTTGCAAACGCTCTCCCGGGCCTGCGCTCAATCGCCGTGCCCACGTCGCATTGTTAGGTTAGTAAGAGGAGCCTACGTGATTTTACGCCCGAAAATAGTTTTATTTTTATTTTAATTGATCTACTATTCACGTAGTGTTAAGATGACGATATCAACTTAACTATTTGTCTAGTCATTTGTAGTTAAATATTTGTCTGTATGTGTCATTCAGTTTTAAGGTACTGGCATTTGTAGAGACCAAAAAGTGGTTGGGTACAAAAGTAACATAACACGACAAAACTGAGGCATATAACGAACGTGCACCAAAGATGACATATATTACGTTTACGTATAGAAACAAGAATCTCATTAATGCCTAAAGAGTAAACTATTATTGGAAAAGAAGAAGTTATTACTTGTTTTTTTGTTATTCTTGAGAAGAAATATTTTATGTTGCGTTTTTTATTATCTCCTAAGTGTCTAATAAAAAATTTAATGTCTAATAAATAATTTTGTGTTTCTTTTTCATTGTACATAATGATATTGAGCTGGACGTTAATAGCACTACTTTCGCCCAGTACCATGTTACTTTCCTGAGGGTCAGGAAGAAAGTTACAATTGTCATTAGTTTTTTGTAGCATTGTAATTGTTGGAAACCATGATCTACTAAATAAAATTATAATATACATTTGTAGAAGATAGACCAAAACTTGTCAAGGGTTATATTTATTTTATCGCAGATATTATTAATAGCCAGAAATCAAAGAAAAAGTACAAAGTGTTACTTTGGTACCCGGTCTCCCTTATTTAGGTAAATTCAACACCAGTTTCGCCTGGTCTCTCTTATATTGGACAAACGAAGCGAAGTATTTGTACCCGCGTCAAAGAACATATAGCTGATGTCAAACACCGTCGCGTAAACAAGTCTGCAGTCTGCGAGCATATCATGGATAAAGCTACACATTCAATGAAGTTTGACAAATCCGTCAGGTCCGTGCAAAAGAAGTCCGTTATCTATCCAGGATGCTGCGAGAGGCCATTGAAATTAAAAAACATCCTAATTTCAACATGGAAGATGGTTTCTCCGTACCACCAGTTTGGGATTCTATATTTCTTATATTCTATATATATAGATGAAAAATCCCAAACAGACATAAGACTGAAGTACTAATCAATATGTTTTAATTTATCCTATTTTCTATTATTAATTAATAATAAATTTAATTTAATAAAAATTCATTCAATAAAATAATTTGGAAAACATAATGTAGCGTAAATTGGAATGTTTTCTTGTGAATTTAACAATAAGGTATTTAATTAATAACTTTTGTAACTTAATGAAAACTGTGGTTTGCATTAATATTAGACGTAACTGGTTGACTGTACCACCTCAGTCAACCGTGACCATGGGACATTTGTTTGAAAAAACATATATACGCGATTTAATTCCGGAAAAATAGTTTCATTTCCTATAAATTCAACATATTATTATGTTAAATATCAATTTCTATATAAATT